TATCGTTAATTTGAGTTTCTGGGCCGGGTCATGACAATCTTCGCTTGCTTTATGATGTGAGGTAATACATGGTTGCTATTTAGATTCGTTGGACTGTGTCCTTCGACCTCCGTAATTATAGATTGGTTCCTCCATTTATACTTGATATGACAAAATTATAAGATCTTGCTTAGCTTTTTCATTCCTTCTCATCCATTTCTCCTATACATAAATTTGACTCCAGCCATGAATCCATAGTGCATTGATATTTTTAATTGAAAGTGATCTCGAACAACATACTCGAGATGTAATTAATTATTGGGATTTGCATGTATGAGAACCTTCAAAATAAATCTCCATTTACTTCATTTGCCAGTTGGCAGAAATCTAAACAATCTTTGAAACTCTACATTGCTATGCATCTTTGAAACTTTATATTTCCTCTTTACAATACAAGCCACTGTAGTACTTATTTTTTGTTGTTCTTTTAATGACTAGTGTATTTTTCTCAATAACCTTTTCTTCCTCATTTCACCACCAAGTTTCTGTAGTAGTCCACAATTTATTCTTAGACTCTCCTAAAAGTTATATGGCTAGCTTATTATTGAGATCACCATTTATCCCGCTTTGAGTTTAGCTCAACTAAAGAATGTATTTTTTATCTTTCTCTAATCTTTGAAGATTAAATCTTTTTCACCTTTTGAATTTTACTAGCTTATCTTAAGACAATAATTTCATTTGATCGTTCTCTTTGTAATCCAAGATATACATCTATAATCCCTACTCTAAGTTATGTGGCTGAATTCTCTTGGAATCAACTTAAATGTTTTACATAATGATTTTCTTTCATTCCAAGTAAAAGGAAGTTTATTTGTATCGTTTGTAATTTGGTGGCTCCACTTTCATATGCAATTGAGTCTTCTTCTTATTTCTAAAAATGTTGATTCACTATTGTAACTTATGCTATTGTAAAATAAAGTATAATTTCTCTCATTTTATTTCTATCTCTTATTCTACATTCACCACATTTTTTTGTTGCCCATTCTATAACCTAGGGCTATAAATGAATCAAGCGTTCGATAAGCTACTTGTGGCTTAACTCGATTTTAGCTCATTCATAATCATTTGTTTAAATAATTAGATAAATTTGAATAATTTTTAAAATATTCAACTATTAAATAAAAAGTTTGAACAACTATGTGTTTGATCATTTATGTTCATGAATAATATCAATTAAAGCGTGTGAATAAGCTCGATATAGAGCTCGTTGCAAATCTCTATTAATGTTTAATATAGAGCTTGTGAATCATTAATAATCGATTAATGTTAATTATAAATATTTATTTGTTATATTTTCACACATTATTTTATTTTATTATGATAAATTATTCTTATTTTATTAAAAAATTGATTTCTTTTTTTTTTAATGTTATACTATTTCAATAGAACATTGTCATTGTCAGATCCCAAACATTGGATGAAAAAAGTGGAGGGTTGCATTGCTTTGTCGATAGTCAGCGTAAAACTTGTCGAGCAATCATGACTTGAATATTTTAATATATTGTTATGATGCTAGGACATTTCCCTAGAAGCTCTCTGTATGGCTTAAAGACGCCGAAAAATATGCAAGGGCCACTGCACCAACACCCGGGTGCAGCAGTAATATGGGTCCTTATATCATAGATGGATATGGGCAAAGAAGTTTGTCCATAAAACTAGAGATATTATAGGAACTTAGAATATAGGTACTCTTATAGATAAATTAATGAAATTAATAAAAAATATGATTTATAAGAAGATAAATACTCTAGGTATTAAGGAAATTAAATAGGTTGGTGAAAATACTAGAGATTGATAGTTTAGAATTTAAACTTTAGTATTCAGTTATGAGTCGTATTAGAAATGATGTAGGTTGATTATAAATAAGAATTTGAAGGATAATGTTGTAGAAATTAATAAAAGTTAAAATAGAATTAAAATTTTAAGGATTATTGTTGATGCTTAGATTATTAATGTTACAAATGCTTATGATCCTCAAGTAGATTTGAATATGTGTTCAAAAATAAATTTTTTGAATGATTTAGAATAATTAATATAAAAGATACTTACTAGAAAAAGAGTTTTTTATTGGAAAAGATTTAAATGAACATGTTGGTAGAGTGTTAAAATATTTTAAAAATATTTATGGTGGCTATCGGTTTGAAGCGACTAATGAAGGTGAAGGGGTCATATTAAATTTTAATATAGCTTATGATTTTGTAATTGCTAATACTTTATTTAAGAAAAGAGAGAAGTGTATCTTCTTATAATAGTGGTTATAATAAACTAACAATTGATTGTTTTCTTATAAAAATAATTTTTTTTTATTGCAAAGATTGTAAAATCATTCCGAGTGAAAGTTTATGTATCAAACATCTCTTATTGGTTTTGTACTTTAAGATGAAGGGGTGGAAAATAAAAAATAAAGTAACAATTATCTTATGATTGGATGGAGGTATTTAAATAACACTAATAAAAATATTTTTAAGAGTAAAATTTAAGATATTTAGGTTGTTTATGAGGAAGCTAATATTATTTAGGAAAAAAATAGTTAGCAATATTAGGAATGTTATAAAGTATGTGCTTGTGGAATAAAAGGGAAATTTTTTTATAGTAAAAACTAATTGATGATTGAATTAAAATGTGCTACAAAAGATTAAAATAATAAGCCTTGTTATAAAAATTGTTTTGGATGTAAAAGTTCGAAAGATGAGGAATGATATAGAGGGGCCTATAGGAATTCTAAGAAAGCAGTATGTGATGTAAAGAATTTAATTTTTAGTGATTTATATAATAGATTAGATACGAATGATAGGGAAGGATGTATGCATAAGTTAACCAAGCAAAAATATATGAGAAGTAAAGATTTAGTCAAGTAAAATGAATTAAGGATGAAGATCAAAAATTATTTTTCGTATAAGAGGGTGTTCAATATAAGTTGATGAAATATTGTGATGAACTTTTCAATGAAAATTGTGTGAAGGCGATTAACTTTAGTGACCTTAGCACCCAAAATGAAAATAGAGATTTTTGTTTTCATCATCGTATTGATAAAACTGAAGTTGGAGAAACATTAAAGAAAATGAACTATAAAAAAAAGTAAGTCCTAATGATATTTCAATAGAAATGTGAAAATGCTTAGGAGATCAAGGAATTTTTTAGCTTATTAAATTGTTTAATTTTATTTTGAAGACTAAAAAGATGTTAGATGAATGGAGAATGCGTATGTTGGTCTCTATTTTTAAAAATAAATGTGAATCGCAAGAATGTGCGAAGTATAAAGGAATTAAGTTAATGTGTCATACATTAAAATTATGGGAGAGAGTAATTGAGTATAGGTTACGACGTGATACTAGTGCTTCTCAAAATTAGTTTGGATTCATGTCGAGTAGGTCTGATATGGAAGCTATATATTGCTTGAGAGGTTTGATGGAAAAGTATAGGGAGTAAGGAGGATCTACATATGATATTTATTGATTTAGTCAAAGCATATGATAAAGTTTCAATAGTATGCATAGAATGTGTCATACTTGTGTTCAAATGCAAAGTGGTTTGACTAAGTATTTTCCTATTTCAGTTGGATTACATCGAGGATCAATTTTAAGCCTATGTCATTTTGCATCAGTCATGGATATTCTTACCATACATTTACAACATCATGTACCTTGGTGTATCTTTTTTGCAGAGTATATTCTTCTTGTTAGTGAACAAGCTTGTTTATAAGAATAATAATTTTTTCTACTCGTTTGTTTGTGAATGCGCTCATTTGGTAGCTTGAAATACTTGCTAGATATGTTCGTGAACGGACTCTTCTGGTAGCTTGAAAATACTCACTAGAAATATTCGTGAACATGCTTTAGATAATTGTTTGTTAGTAGGCTTGATAAGGCTCATTTGTTATGCTAATGAACATCTAGAAAGTAAAGGTCATTAATAGCTCGATAAACCTTATTTGTTTAATGCTTGATAAGCATGAACCAAATCAAACATGAACCAAACAAAAATCAAACATAAACATTTATCATTTTAAACTAACAAAGCTTGAGCATGAACAGAAAACTTGAATAAAGCTCAAGTAGAGCTTGAACAAGTTGATAATAAATGAGTTCAAATTTGATTAAGCACCTGCTCGGCTCGCCTCGATTCGTTTATAGCCCTACTATAATCTATGTTCCTATGTAAGTCACCCTCAATAAATTTGCTTTCTTTCTCATATGTATGTTGTAGTAGTTTATTCTTTTTTTTATAAAATGTAAAATTGTTTTTTAAACTATATTCTAATCCAAATTGAGGGTCATATGCATTAGTTGTATTTATGCTGTCCTTGCCAATGATCATCTTATTACCAATAACTTTATCACTTATTCCATTCACTTGAATAATTTTATCTTTCAACTCTCTATCCATTGCACTGGTTCAGTCCCATTTCAATTTTAAAATTTGCATTATGCATTAACTTGTAAGCTTCCTTAATGTTCTAGGATTTTATTTCCTTTTCGTTTGATTTCTTATTAACAAGCAATTTATTTATACTAATCATTATGTCCACCTTTTTTCTTTCCTTCCCTTTCGAAGTACTCAAACTTCATATAATATGTAATCAACTAATATTAGTTTTAGACCTAATCAACCATTATTTACTTTTGACTGTAATCCTGTTAAGTTGTGATGCATCACTTTTGAGTGCTATTCTAATCAGCCTTGTCTATTTTTAACCATAATTAGGTTAAGTTGTGTCGAGTACTCTTGTTTGGATTGTCCATGGCACATTTTTTTTGGTGGACCGACTTGGCACTAGAAAAAGTCAAATTTTAATTCATTTCATTAGTTTTTATATTAGTTTTATGATTTATGATTGACTTATCACCAACCCTCAACCTTTCTCATATGACTTGGACTAGCAATGGCGGTTAAATCATGTATTATGTATTAATTTTGTGATTTCCTACAACGAGACCTTTATTCCTATCTTTTGGTTTCAGGTGGCACGAGGGGGTCAATCTGTTACAATTGTGGGTTCAAAACTGATAATGTTTGGGGGGGAAGGCAGAAATAGACAGTTGCTAAATGACCTCCATATTCTTGATTTGATTACTATGACTTGGGATGAAGTGGAAACTAAGTACTAAATTTTATCTTATGTGAATAGTTATGTGTTATTTTATTTTTTGTGTTTAAGAATCTTTTATATTGAATAAATAGGAATGCTCCTCCGTCACCACGATTTGATCATACAGCTACAGAGCATGCTGGACGGTACTTGTTTATCTTTGGTGGCTCCACTCAATCATCATGTTTCTGTGATCTTCATGTGCTGGACTTGCAGAACGTAATTTTTTTTATATAATATTCATTTCTCTTTTGATTCATTTTGCATCCATATTTATATGGGACTGAAGTTCACCTGAAATATTTATCCTGATCCTGCACACTCATGATAATTGATTGCAGATGGAGTGGTCTCAACCTGACGTGCAAGGTGTTGCTGTGACACCTCGAGGTGGTCATGCTGGTGCAGCTGTTGGTGATATGTGGTACCTAGTTGGTGGTGGAAACACTATAAGCGGTGTGTTTGCTTCGGCCAAATATTCTTCTATTCTGGGTTATTCTATCATCTAGATGAGTATCTACCTTTGTTATTTATACATGTTAGATGAGTTATGTTATTTTTATGATTTGCTTTTATATTGTTGTATTGTATATGCATGTTTATGCAGGTGCCACTGAAACTATTGTTTTGAACATGTCCAAACTTGTCTGGTCAGTAGCTACGGTCGTTCCCTCACAAGATCCACTTGCCAGTGAGGTTAAACTAGTCGCTTACTTTTAACATTTTATATGCCACTTTTCATTCTAGTATTTTTGTTTTCTGGATTTAATTCTTTAGCGAATTAATGATCATTAGGTTTTATTCTGCTGGGATTTGCAGGAACGTGTTCAACTATCATATTTCAAGATCCATAAAAAAATCGTTTTGTAAAGATTAAATGTCATTTTTTGTGCGCTCAAATGACCATATGTTAGCTTCTAAAATCATATATCGAACCCTAACTTGATAAAAATTAACGATGCAAGAAAAATATTTTACAAAATAAGCAAGCTCGACTCTAGCTCATATCATGCATGGGTTTTAAGTTAATACACATCATAGGAGTTGTCTATTTTGGCATGCTGGTCTATTAGTTCAGCTACAAGATCATTCGGTGGTTGCTCTTATGGCATGAAACCAAGGGCTCTAAAGGTCTTATGAATTACGGGAATTTCTTTTACTCTTTTGGAGTTACAGGAAAGAGAAAAAAGATTTCAAAGGTGGATTTATTTTTATGCATTCCCGTGATTTTCTCTTGCCTCTTTGGTGGAGTTAATTTGGGTTTATTTTATATATAGAGGATTGGGATTTCATATGACATCCATGGTTAAATACATCTCTGACGCGATGCAGTCTACACTTGTGATCAAGGACATTAATTACGCTGTGTGGCGATAAAAAATATCTAATTTTAAAATGGGATAGAGTGGTGGATGGCTGACTAAATCAAGATAATATGATTTCATCATTTGAAGTTGACCTCACAGACCTAATCTACTGATGATGGAAGGCTTGGAGTCATATTATTTAAGGAGTTTGATTAGCAACCATTAGTTATTTTCTTTGAGGTATTTTGAGTCAATTGGGGTGGTAGTATGATAAAGGGGTCATTCTCTCTGATTAAGATTATGAGTTTCTCTTGGACGTAAAAAGTTCAAGGGTACTATTATGATTGATTGTGATTCAGTCGTATACCAAATTAGCGCAAATGCACATAACATGTACCTCTGATCGATTCATGACTGGTGCAGTCAACTTGATTATCTAGGAGTAAATGTGTGCTAACTTTAAAGGAGAGCGCCCTAAGACAGTTTTAGTGAATGTGGATTTATCAGATCGAGCATACTTTGTTGTGATGCCAATATGTATGTTGTATACTTCACGTGGTAATTGTATCAAAGGTTGGTTGCTTGTTTATGCAGTGATTAAACTACGTCATTGATGGCAACAGGTTGCATCCATGGGTAGCCTTGGGCCTGCAAGCAGGGAGGCTTGGGTTAATCTTAAGTTTGTTATGCTTCAAAGAGGTATTGTCATAATATTGAACTATGATCTGCTCTGGTGTAATAATGAATTCCCTATCAGGCTAGCTTGAGAATGGGATCTTACAATGTTTGTAACCAAATTTGGGAACTTTATCCATAGGGCTTAAGGTGATTTTGAAAATTCGGTCTTTCATTATCAGAGTGGGGAATGCTATTTTTATTTTTGTAAATATGGAGAATCAACACTTATTTGTCATATTTTAATGTTGATAAAAATTCGGTGCTTGGAGCTTATAATTTTGATGATAGAGAGATCCAAAATGGTGGGACTTACATCTTTAGGCTAAGGGAGGCCCATATTTGTGCCTAATGGATTGATTTAATGGGTTTTTTTGACAATGTGTTAACTCGGCTAAAGGGTTAAGGCTTTATTATGAAGGTTTAATGGCGAGACTTATATATGTGAGGCAAGTTTGGGAGTTGGGTATTGCTTTGATAGTGGATAACCCCATGAGTGGGTTTGATTATTTGAAGTTTTAAAGTAACCCAAAAGCTAGCCTTACAATCCTTTTCTTAGGTAGGGTGCCTTGAAAGAGGAGAGAGAGAGAGAGAGAGAGAGAGAGAGAGAGAGAGAGAGAGAGAGAGAGAGGGTTAGGGTATCCTCTCATCAAGGTTTGACACACATTTACTTGGAGATTGTGGCTTATGAATCCAAATATATTATAGTTCAGGGGTGAAATTTATAGTCTCAAACCGAGAAAAGTCTAGAGTTAGGACATGTGATCTTATTATATAGATAAGACAACCCAATCAAGATTGATTGATATGTCGTTTCAAGATTTGGTTGAGCTAACTATTAGTGTTGAATTGTTATATTTTATATTGTTTTTATTTTTCATAATCTCGATGTTTTTCCAACGAGGGTCTAGTTCAATTGTGTAATTTTTGGATAGTAAATTTTTTATTAATATATTTAGGCTGAGGGCAATATGCTAATTTGATGTATTAGTTGGGTTAATAGTAGAAAGTAGAGGCTCCCCTCCCTTTGTCTAATCCCAATGGGAAACTCTCATAAGTCAGTAGATTTTTTGAATACATGAGAATATATTTTATGTTTATTTTATAGTTATGTTGACTTATAACCAAATGAAAAAAAGAGAAGATATATACGCTCGATATCTCATGTACCTCCACACATCGACCCGTGATCTCCGCTCGTCGTTCTTTGCACAAAGCTCTACATGAATCCCGCATATCCCTCTACGCACGATTTGAATCCCACGCCGTTCTTCCTCTTCACATGATGCCTCGATCGTTGCCATATGCTTGCATTAAAACGAATCGAGGAGGCCTCCGGTTACCTTTCTCGCTCACGAACGGAACACTTGCCGAAGCCAATCCCTGACTTCCTGTTTCCTCTGCAATGAAACATCCATCCAAGGCCTCTCCTGACCTCGAATTTTGCCTCCCAGACGATTCGAATCCCCCTGCACAAGCCCGATCAGCTTATAACTGTCGACCTACCTCAATCCTATTCTTCCTTCCATGATCAATTATTTGAATATCCCCACCCCAACTGGACCGGCTGACTTCCTCCTCCTGCAACCTCTACCCAATCCGATCCGGTATCCGTCACTCTAGTCCTATTCGCAAGCCGCTGAGCTCGCCTCCCAACCTCAAATACTTTATATAACCTATAATCCTCCATCCCAACCTCCTACTCATTTGAACTGAGCTCCAACCGCATCTTCCTCTGCGGATCAGATTCTCCTCCTTCGATGACGTTCCCTTCTGTTAGATTGGAATCAACGATGGGAACTTGCTCACTATGAAGGTATCTTTCATCCCTTCACGCGTTTCTTTAGCCAAATCCCTAAACAGAGTTTATGGCGAAAGAGGGAAACAGAGGATTTAATTGGCTGTGAGATTTAACCGTTCCCTAAATCTTGCTTAATAGAATTTAACATAAATCTTGTATCCATACATTCTTTTTTAATTAATTTGTGATTAATTATGATTAATTATAATTAATGCTCATTAATTATAATTAATTGTTATCAATTATAATTAATCACTATGAATTATAATGAATTGCAATTAATTTTGATTTATAATGAATTGCAATTAATTTTAATTAATAGTATTAATTATCATTAATAATAATTAATTATTATTAATCTTAATTATTGTTATTAATCATGATTAATTAATATTATTATTTATAGTTAATTATTATTAATTATAGTTAATTATTATTAATTATAGTTAATTATAATTAATTATAATTAATTGATGTTAATTAAAAAAAGTTAAGTTAAAAAAAGAAGAAGAGGAGAGAGAGAGGGGAAGAAAGAAGTTGTGTGCCTCGATCCTCACGCATCATCATCACCATCAATACACACACGTTTTTCTTTGTGTGGTAGGAGGAGAACCTAGTACGACACTAACGATGAGGCGGGTAGGCCCTGTACACGCTTTTCTTATCATGGCGGAAAAAAATTTAAGTACCAGTACGTACCTTAATGTCTGCCGTGAAAGAATTGTGGATTTCAAAGTAGGTACCTTTGAAGACCCATACACGTTTTCTTGGCATGGTGGGAAGGCCCAGCTCCCCAAATTTCCCCCAAATGGGATATGCTGGGATGTTGCCGAAATTCAGAGTGAAGATGTACAATGATTGAATGAACAACAGGGGACTTGATCCTCTGTTGTCAAATAGACAGAGTCAACAAGGTTCAGACGGATAAAATGAAAATTGCTCATGTACCCCGATGATGATCGTGTTGACATAAAAATCTCAACTAGAGGGAACCCTAAATATTTGATATGAACCCCAGGTCTACAACGTACTCTTAGATGAAGCAACCCATGGCTGCCAACAAAAATCCTTCTATTAGGTTGGGTCGACTACCTCCTCTGACTAAGTAGATCAAGGACCATGATGTCCCGGGACGATGGAACCATATGAACTTGATTGGGCTCATCATCATCCCCCACCACAATCCTCTTTAAGTGCAAGATAGTAAAATTTCTAATTTTAAATATCAAATTTTCAAATAACAAACTCATGCTGCTATTATACACCAGATACCAAGTATCTGTTTTGACGATTAGCCTTAATTGAAAGTTCTCTCTCGTCATCAGGAGGAGTAATTAACTATAGGGGTTTGCGCCCATAGGAAACCAAAACTCAGATCATAAAATCCTCGCAAAATGAGAGTTAAATCTATAGGTGATGTATTATTCACAATCCAATCTGCCTTCTAAAAATTTACCTCGGAACTTGCTCGTTAAAACTCTCCTCAATGACCCAAAAAAGAAAAGAAAGAAAGAGGGTCGGTGGAGAAGCCGGGTGCGAATTTTCGGAGCCCACAAGTTAGCAAGTATTTTCATAATGAGGTTTTCTGATTAGGCCCACCCAAGCCTATTTAGAATTTCTATGTCCTTTGTTCTAACTTAAAGGCGACTCCATCAAGTTTTGACTTATTTCTAAGTTGTGCTAATATTTTGCTAAGATTTTATTATTAACACACAACAATTTTTAGTTTGTAGAGAGATGGTGCATAATCTAGCTTGTACATTGTTCTAAGCCCAAAATTTTGTTCACTGTATGCGACGAGTACATTAAATTTACCCATGTTCAAGTGTTAGTGTTGTTTCACTTGATTACATTATACGTTCATTAAGTCTGCTTTGTGTATGGTTTGTACTTGTTAGATTATTTGTAATGTTCATTGTTTATCCTTTGTCCAAATCGGTAGATGGAATGCTGGGAAGTTTTTGCTTTTCCCTATTAAACTCAATCCAAGGTTCTTCTTGTCCAAATGTGGGGATATGTTTTTGAGTGTAACAACAATGTACTTATGTAGATTTATGTTTTGGTTTTTAGGTTTAACCATGTAACTGTTTGGTATAATGTTGGCAACTTTTTGTTTTGCAAGTTCTCATTTTCATCTAAAATTTTGTTCCTTTCCCAACTAAGGGACAATAGGAAGCTTGGTGACCTATACACATTATGCCCGAAAGTTGACATATATGTGATGCAAAGCATTAAGACACATTTTGGGAACATTACAAATATCCTAAATGACGTACGAGTGACATTCGACCTTAGCTTTATTGGGCCATTGAACATATGGAAACCTTGCAATAAATGTTGAGGTTATGGAAACTTGGGCCTCTCCACCATTCCCCAAAGGTCATGCATGGTTGGCTTCTCGACTTTGATTTTACAACATTGTTAGACATTTCACAAACTTCCAGAAATTAAGGTTGAGTAATAATGCAGAGCCTTATCACCATGCTCTGAAGATCATTTATGGGTATTTTCTGGCCTTGGTTATATCAAGTTGTTGGACATCTAATAAAATAAAATGGTAGTATGAGGCCTATCTCTAAACCCCAAATGTTATGTATGGTAACATGGTCGACTTTAACTTAATTGGGTCATTAGACATCTAACTAGCTTGTGTTTGACCGTGGTAAGAGAAGAAAGAGAGTAAATTAGAAAAATACAACACATTGTGATGTAGGCAAGGGGGGGGGGGGGGTTGATGTAGGCAAGGGGGGGGGGTCAAAATATTTTGGGTGAGCTTCAATGACCTCTACTAAAAAATCAGCTCATTAATGTTGAGCTACTTCTTATTTAGCTCATTAATTTGAATTTAATTGAGTTAATTCCCCCTCTCTAATGGCCCTTTGATTTCCCCACCTAGCTCCCCTTCCCATGGCTCTCTTTCCCCTTTCTTGGCCCTTCAGTTTTCCCTGTCTGGTTGCCTTTTTTCGGTTCCCCTGGTTGCCTTTTCCCTTCCCTATGTGTCTTCGTTTTTCCCTCTTGGTTCTTCTCCTTGGTTGGTTCCGGCTCCCTTGTCTGCTGGTTCCGATTCCCTATGCTGCCCCTTTGGTTTCTCCCATGGCTGCTTGTCTCGTGACTGCTTTTCCCGGTTTTCTGTGTGGCCTTTTCGGGTGCTATTCTGGCTCCCTTTGGCTGCTTTTTCAGTTCTCCCTTGGCTGCCTTTTTGGATTTTCTGTGTAATTGTTTGAGTATTGTTTCTGGACTGAATGTTTGGCCTTCTATCTCCCCTTATCTGCTTAGTTTAATTGGAGGAATAAGGGGACTGCTTGTCTACCTTTTGTCACCTATAAATATGTGATGTTTAATGAGTTTAGAAGATTTTTAATAAAGAGTTTATGGAGAGATTTTTGGAATAAAAAACCTGAGGGTTTTTTCTTTGGAAAAGCTTGCGAGCTTGTTCCACTTCTTCTCTCTTCTTTGGGAAAGCTTGCGAGCTTGTCCTCCCTTTCGTCTTGGCTTCTTATCTCTTTCTTCTCTCCGCAAGTTCGACGCCAATTGCATCTTTCTTCTCGATCCAAGAAAAGCAAGTTTAGGTGTTTGTTTTTATGTCATAAGTTTGTAAGGGTTATCTTCATCCTATAAAAGTCATATTGTGTTTAAATGTTGTATTTTGTCTATTTTTAAGTATTTTCTTATATCCTAGGAAGTGTTTTATTTTTGCTTGCAAAAATTAGGGGTTTTCCTAATTTTTGCTTGCATCAATTTGGTATTAGAGCAGGTTTGTCGAGTGAGTCTTGGTGTCATAAGAGTTTTTAAATTTTTGTTATTGTAAGTCTTTATATGTTTTGAGTTTAAATTGATATTCCATGCATTCATCCTTTGGAAGCCTCATGTCAAGATTCGAATGAGTCCCAAGGAGAATTTGACCCTACCATAAATAATTGATGCAAGCAAAATGGGAAGAGCCAACCGATTCTTGGTTGCTTGGGTTGGTTGTTCGATTCCCTGCCGTTTGGCTGTTTGGATGACTGCCTGTTGGCCTTTTGTCTCATCTTTTCTGATTGGTTTGAGTGGGAGGCTGATTTGGCTTTTGGATTTCCTAATTTATGGTGACTTTTGGGATTCCTAATTTATGGTGACTTTTTGGATTCCTCTTATGCAATTTAATAGGGGTTGATTGGGTGACTCTTGGGCTTCTTTTCTTTAATTTATGAGGGCTGTTTTGTGGGCTTTTTGGCTTCTTCTTTCCTCCTATATAAAGGATTGTTTTGGGCTGTTTTAGATGTATGTTTTGGTGAGAAAATATTTGGAATGTGAAACCTGCGGGTTGTGTTCTAGCTTGCGAGCTAGTTCCCTTTCTTTTCTCCTCTCTTTGATTTTGTCTCAGGCTTCTTATCTACTTCTCTCCATGGTTACCACTCAATTGTATATTTCTTCTCAACTTATCTTATTATCAAATTTATTAGGTGTTTAAGTGCCTTTTAACATGTCTTTGTTATCATATCATCTATAATTTGTAGTTTTGTCGTTAAGTCGTCATATTAGTCATTTTTTTCGGTATATTTGGTTTGAAATAGGTCAATTTTGGAAGACTTGCAAATTTTATATTTGTAGGCAATTTTTTCTTGTCTACATCACATTATAAATTATTACTTTTTATCAATTATGACAAAATTTTAGTAAAATACCCGCAGTGGCTCTTTTTCTTTTGGTTAAATGTCCTCACGTACAACAATGTTCTCATAAGTGCTTGCGAGTAAAAATTTTCTCTTTTCTAAATTTTTGGAATTTTGAAATTTTTTGCCCTCTACTTTTATATAAGTCATTCGTTGAAGGAAGAAGTGCCCCAATTGGAGGCGTGCGATAAAAGAAATTAGGAGGGGGGAATATTTTCTCAATTTATTTAAATTATACAGAGGGCCTCTTAATTGAATGGGATGAGCTGCACTTATGCATGACCCTTTTTATTTCCTTATTTTTATTATTATTCTTTTTTTCTTTCTTTTTTCTAATACAATGATTTTCTGATTGTTGTTTTTTTTCTTTATTATTAGTATTATTATTTGGATATCTTTTTATCCCTTTATTTTTGTTCTAGCACGTGATGGCTTGTCAGTCTTTAAATGCGCTTGAGTGTAATGTGGGCCCTGTTGAGTCCACAAATCAAGGTGACCTGACTTTGAACAAGGAATAATCAGGACTAGAATGGCTAGAATGGAGGGTAACTAATACTTATTCTCAAAGTAATGCCTCGTAATCCTATCTGAATGCACTTAGAATGCCACAAATGCAAGATACTCGATAAGGTCCATCAAAAGTTGTAGGATTAAAAACACCTTATGAGTACCGGCTAAGCTGTGTTATGAATATTTTGGGGAGCACCAAGTACAATACATAACATTTGTAAATAAAAAAGGTATAATAAGAGTCGGTGGAATAAGTAGCTTTTTTTCATGATGTGCATTTTGTATCTTGGCCTTCATAATTTAGAAATCATATAGTGGTTAATTCTACGTAGATAAGCATCGAATCCAAACTAGTTTCTTGTTCTCAAGCCAATCTGGAACTGCTTTTTATGGGAAGCAAAACGTGATGTTGATGCTAAGCAAACTCGCATGAAGTTCATTGGTTTTTATCTATGGCACTGTGTACATAAATTTTTGATGCGCTCCCTTGTACAGTGCTTATCTATGTTACTAAGGTACAGTGCTTATCATGCATTTGTATCCAATAAATGTGTGAATTTTGACTTGTGAATGGCCTAGATTTCTCGTTCCTGTTAATTTCTCAAGTTCAAAAGCTTTAAATTCTTGTGATTAAGCTCCTTGGCATTCTTCACATGCGGCCTTCTTGAGTTGACTTTCATAAAAGCTCATTATGATCTTTAAGACTAACATTGTTGTAACTTTGTGTGGTTTTTTTCTGAGGTGCGTGGCCATTTAAATGTATGCATCTCCTTTTGGATTTAGCTTGCCAACTGCCCCTGCTTTTGACACGCTTCACTAGCTGCATGCGTTGTTTTATTATTATTATTATTATTTTCAGGCCTAGACCTTGGAGATAAGTAGCAATGACACTGGACTACATGCTGGGTGGCTGATGCATGCTATCTTATTGTTGAAATCATTTGCTTTGATTTTCTTTGCTTCACGGTTTTATGTTCTTTCCTTCTTACCTATTAATTTGCTTATTTCTGATTTTAATGCGAAGAGACTGATGATATATGTTAGCATATTTTCATATGTTTTCTGGTTTCTTGTTTAGTGCAGTGCATTGGAATACTTAGATACTGCTTTATAAGTTGTGCAGTGTAATGTTTGCATTCTGAGTTGGGTAGTCTTTAAGAAAATATTGTTCTAAAAGTGAATGGACTATTATATTCTAAAATTATCAAGAGAAATATCTCAATATATTTCCCAGTGTTTTCCAAGATCGTGCTTAGGTCTTGACTTGTGCTTTGCAGGGCCTTAGCCTTTCTGCAATGTCCATTGACGGGGAAAGCCTTCTGATTGCCTTCGGTGGCTACAACGGCAAGTACAGCAATGAGGTAAATTGGATCCTTTGTTTGTTATGCAAAAACTAAAGAATGCAATTAGTGGGTTAAACAGTCTAAAATTCGTTGTTTGGATTGCACATGATTTGAGCTTACTGTTGATAATCATTATTATTAACATTGGCCTTATCCTAATTATTTTGGCTTGGTGACAGTGTACAACATAATACATATGATACCCCTATTAGTTATGTCGAATCTAATTGTTTCGACTAATTGGGTTGTACTGTTGACTCGGATCTCCTCAATCTGTCAATGGAGCTGGACGAGAAACTCATTAGGGGGTTGTAGGGGGGCAGTGCACCCCTATTTGGGGGGGTAAAATTTTCTTGTATGTACAACGCCGCAACGACGTAAATTCAATGAAAGGTGATGTGGCCCCCCCTTTGGAAAAGGTGCTCAACATCGAGGCATTGTGAACACAACGCCGTAGCGATGTGGGCTCATTATGAGGCAGAGGAGATAGTGCCGAGGTGTTGTAGGTATAGTGTCGTCGTGCTGGTTTGGTTAAGTCGGTTTTCTTTTTGTTTTTAAGAGTTTTATCCAATTGAAGGTTCTATAATTCGTGAGAAATGCTTGTATTCGCTTATGGAGATGATGGATATGAGTGTGAGGTGAAGAGAGTGTTAGTGTGAAGATATGTACGATTTTGATATGCTATGGGGTCCCACCTTGTGGGGCCAATTAATATTTCACTATATAAGGAGGAGAAATCCGGGGAGAAATAATTATAAAAGTTTATTTAGAGAAAGATGGTTGATTTGAATTTAGATTGACGAGGAAATTAGGAAATAATTATTTAAGGAAAGAGGATTGATTTGAATTCAGATTTGGGAGAGAATTAAGAAGGTTTTATTTAGGGAAAGTGGTTGATTTGAATTCAGATTTGGGAGGGAATTATTAATGTTTAATTAAGGGAAAGAGGGCTGATTTAAATTTATATTTGAGAGAAAAATATGATGGTTTATTTAAGGGTAATCATGTTGTTTTATTTTCTTTATATTATTTATGTTTGTTGTAGTTTTCTTGTGAGTTGTTTCTACTAGAGTCTAGGATTTGTGGGAGAGCTGATCTACCTCTCGAATAGTTGATCCATGTTATCCTTCATTATTGTTGAAGTATTAATCAAAATCATCCCCTATCTTCAAATTTTTTTCGATTTTCTACTTGTTATCTTGTTGTTTTTACTTCAAAAATGCATCAAATTTCTCCCATTTTTTATGGTAGATTTTTTGGTGTTATACAGCTTCGTAATTTTTTCCCATTTTCAGGTTTTTCCACGTTTAATTCTATTTTGTTCTTTGTTTTCTTTTGTCTTATTTGTTTCATTTTTGATTTACTTGCAACTCAAACTAGTGTTGGGCTGGGCCTATGGAATTAATTTATGTTGTCCAACGTCTGCATTATAAAGAAGCTATTCTGCCACTCAACCCTTGATCTCAAGGTCTCTAAGGAGAACTTAAACGTGACAACTATCCTGCAATCTAGACTATTCACATTTTAGTTTTCAAAGTTTCTATATACATTTGTATGTTTATTGGATGATTATCGTCACATTTCTTGTAACAGTCCAATTTTTTTTTGTATATAAATTGTTTTTTATTTCACAGGTCTTTACATCTACAGTTAGCATGCTGTTTATCATATACATCTGTGATCCCCTGTTTTTAATTGCAGCTTTTCGTTTTAAAACCCAAGCCAAGAGTACCAACAAAACCCAAACTCTACCAGTCACCAGCTGCCGCAGCCGCAGCAGCTTCAGTTACAGCTGCTTATGCTTTAGTAACATCAACTGGCACAAAGGACATCGATCCTGTTGACGAAAACCTTAAGAGTGAGCAAGCTAAAAGACAACCAGAGGTCGAGTCGTTTGCGACTGAGGTGCTGACAGTAGAGAAGAAGAATCTAGAGTCTAAGCTCGCTGAAGTAAGACGAGAAAATGCAAAGGTTGAAGGAAATCTTGAAGATGCTAGAAATCGTCAGTCTTTATTGTCTATGGTGAACTCTTAAACCCTCGTGGAATGTTCTCTTACTTTGTTTTTTTAAGCTTTTGATTATCTTTTTTATTGTAATCCTGATTAAAAGGAACTCAAGGCTGTTGCATCACAACTAGAAGCTGAAAGATCAAGATGCTTCAAACTAGAGGTTTTGTTAGTTATTCTTTTGTTTCTTTGGTTTCTTGGTACCTTTGTTGGTTGCATAAAACTAAAGTAAATGCTTTTTATTTAATTTATTTATTGGATCGTTACAGATACAAATTTCAGATATTCAGAAGAGATTAGATTCAGTAGGTTCTCTAGAGCGAGAGCTGGAGATCCTACGGCAGGAGAGATCACAAGTCGAGCAAAATACGGCTGGAGTGCAGCGGCAAGGTTCTGGTGGTCTTTTGCGCTGGATGACCGGTTAAACGCATATGCAGAGAAGTATGTGGCGATGGAGGTTAAGAAAATATATACTTTCCATCTTGCTGTAATGGCTTTACTATGGTCATAATTAACCATTCCTTCTGTAGGGCCTGATGAGCACACAGCAAAAGTTGAAAGTGTGCTTACTTGGTGGGCTAACGAGGTTTGCCCGCACCCTTTTGTGTTCCATGCAATTACTCTAATTCATATTTAGTGAGTCTTTTTTTGCTATTGTTTAAGACTCCGTTATTGTGAGAGTTATTTGTGAGCATTGTTTTGTTAATATTTTCATTTTGGAATTCGGTTATCTTGTTTTGTTCAAGCTATTAAGCATGTTATTGAGCTTATAAAAATTTCAAAAAAATGTTTTCTAGGACGTATTATTGAACTTTAAAGAAAAATTTTGAGCAATATTTGCTAGTTTATCTATTTACGGCAGATGCTTTAGCACTGGAAAGATAAATATTTTTGTATGTTATTAGAAATAATTCAATAGGTTTGCTATTTTCTTATCGGAATGGTTTTACTGTTCCGAGTAATTTCTGCTGTGGCTTATTGGGTTATTAAGTTGGGCTCAGCCTGGATAATGCAATAAAATATTCTCGAATAACCTTTGTATGCTTGAGTAGAGATATGTTGTCTGAATCCGCTAAAGAAAATTTTTGTATGAGGTGTTTCAATTATTTAGGAGCGTGGAACACTATTGTATTTTCTGTTTCATTTTATATTTTATTTTATTTATATTTTGATTTGTTTAAATCATGTTTTTATTTCTATTAAATATTTAATAAATTCATTTATATGACTTAATGACTGTGATTGGAGAAATTATTTTGTGCGGTCACCAAACGGCGTCCAGAGGCTAATCAGGATGTGTCAGATCATTTTTTTTGTTATGTACTCGTGTTGTGTATCGGGTGATGTGGCTCATCCTGATTCACCTTTAGACAGTTTGGTGACCACAAAAAATAATCTCATGTGATAGGCATTCGTTGAGCAGCAGTGACAGATAACAGTGGTCGAGTATGGTGGTTGATGTTGGTGATTAAAGATGGTTAGAGTTAGTGGCCAATGGTGAGTGGAGGTGATGGTTGATGGAAGTGTTAGTTTTAGAAATATTTAAAATAAATAAAATTTATTTTTTTATTTTTAAAATAAAATATATTAAATAAGTATATTTTAAAAATTAAAAATAAAGTGGTCTCACATAGGCTTTAATAGTTATTTTGAATATTTTTCAAATTAAATTAAAAATAAAAAAAATGCAAAAAGACACTTTAAATAAACATTTTTAAAGATAAAAGTTAAATAAAAACACACGACATACCAAACAGAGCTTTAGGTAATAATTCATGAAAGTTTCGTTTTCCCACTTTATTTTGCCATTTAAGAATAGTTGTGGTTTATTTCTTATGATGATATCAAGAAAATTTATCTAAAAACAAGCAATTTTGAAATGTATCCAATTTTCTCTAATGATATTAAGGGGTTGTTTGATTGGAATACAAAGTGATGGAAATTATTTTAAATTAGGGGATTTTGAAAATTTAAGTATTTGATTGGATGGATTAAGAATATACAAAAAAAAAAAAAAAAAAAAAAAAAGAATATACACATCAAAGTAAATGGTGTAATTTTTTTTGTTCAATTTTTAAGTAATTCAAATTCGCCTAATTTTGAGCTAGAATTGTTTATACTTGCTAGATCATTGCTAGACCTATCAATAATGGACTCGACCCGAACCCGACCCAAAAAGGGTTGACCTGAAGCGGGTCAGGTTAGGGTTCGGAAAATTATCCCGTTTGAAAAATTGGGTCGGGTTCGAGTTGACCTGAGAACCCAGGAATGACCCGGGTTTACCCGGAAACTCGTCTACCCCGGCTGCCCCACGGCCCGAGTGCCCGCTTGCCCCAGCTGCCCTCGTTACGTAGCATCGCGTCCCGAGGACAGCCGCCAGCATCGCATCCCACGGTTGCGTCCCGAGGCCAGTTGCCAGCGTTGTGTTGCTCCGTTGCGTCCCGAGGCCAGCTGCCAGCGTTTGCATCGCGTCCCGCTCGCTTCCTGGTATTCCCGCTCGAGTTCCGCCGACTTTCGCTGTTGCCGGCCGTTTATCCGCTGCCGCTGGCTGTTGTCCCGCGGTTCGGGTCGGGTTGATCCAAACACGAAGCGGGTCAGGTTCAGGTTTAGAAAATCGACCCGTTTGCAAAAACGGGTCGGGTTGATCCGAACCCGAATAATGCCGGGTCAATTTCAGGTTCGACCCAAACCCGACTCGTGACCCGAAATTGACACCCATAATTGTTGCCCCTCACATGTCATAGTGTTCATTGTTGTTTGTAGCCTACTGTCGGTCACCGTCCTCTGACGACCACCAATGTCGGTTGACACCGCCGCCATCACCTATTAGTGCCCATTGCCTTCGTCTGCCATTAGTGGCCACTACCACAGCTGTCCACCATCATTGCAAGTCGTGCACCATCCACAGTCGCCGGTTGCCACCAACCACTATCCACCGCCACCATGGGCTATTGCAGACACCTGTCGTTGGCCACCACTACTCGCCGCTAATTGTTCACTTATCGCCGACCAACTTTGGCCATCATTACCATCCTATCACCTGTCATTTGTCATCATCTTTAAACATCATGTTACATTCATTACTTCTAATCAAATAAAACAAAATTCCCCCTGCATTTACTTTATATACATCTAAATAACTCAAATGTATTTCTTTTATATTGTATTTATTTTACAGTAAATTTATTTACATTGCATTTTTCTTTAGCCAATCAAACACCCCTAAAAGGGAACAATTATTACGTCCTCTGACCGGACGTAGAGCTACGTTTGGCCGCCAATAACATGTCGTCACGTGCTCTTACTCTTTACCGCGCGGCCCGACGACTTGACCCGAACTGGAACCCGGGAATGCTATGTTCTTGTATTGCGAGGTATTACTCGGTATTTGCTCGGTATTGCTAGGTATTGCTTGACAATAATGAGAAATACCGCTCTGTGAAGACCAATACCGAGCAATACCGAGTTGTATCGAGTTTTTCTAGAAAAACTCGGTACAACTCGGTATTGCTCAGTATTTGCTCGGTATTGGTTATTGCCGAGCAAAATCGACCAATACCTAGCAATACCTAGCAAAATCGAGAAATACCGAGCCATCCTGGGTCCGTTCCGGGTCAGGTTGTCGGGGCGCGTGGTAAATAGTGAGAACGCGTGACACGATTCTACTGGCAGCCGAACGTAGAGCTACGTCCTGTGACCGGACCAAATAGAACTTCCCTAAAAGGAAGCTTGAAATTACTCTTACAGAGGGATATTACTCTTAAAGAGGGATAATGTCTTGTACTTTGAAGCCTATCACAAACAAAATTGAATCAAATTGAGATTTGTATGTTCATTGTGAAGCGTGTGAAGGAGAAGGGGAGTTCATAATTGGAGCTTCTTGGACAAGCTTTGATGATATAGGTGGTGTGGGAGGAGTTTAGTCATAAACGAAGCTTATCTGGGAAGGCATCACAGGGCTGGTGATGTGCATGTTGGAGAAGGAATCACTAGATGATAACATGTAGAAGATGAAATAAATTTGTGAGAAGAGATTGCTTAGGGCAAGCTTTTATAACATTGATGACATGCGAGGAGAAATAGACAACACGGAAAGTGCTAGTTGAGGAAGGCACCATAGGAATCGCGGTATGCTTGCTGAAGAAGGCATCATTCCAAAAAGTTATCTTCGAACGAAAGTTCGAACATAGGTTGCAAATCAGGTTTGAACAAAATTCTAACAATCAATTTAGTGAGGACCAAATTTGACTAAGAAAGACATCAATAGTCATTCCAAATATGTAAGATGAGATTATTTCATTCGAAATGACTTTAAGATATATTTCTACAATAAATAAAAATAGCAATGATATTTCTCCAATTATGCATAATATGAGTCATATAAATCCAAAATTTACTTTTTAATGAATTTCTTAATTTTAAAAAGTTAGTCAACTATTTGAATAGAAAGATAAAGTTATTTATTTTCATATAGGCTTCTTTATTTACAATAAAAGTATTATCTATTGAAAAAAAAAACCTAACAACTCTTGCAAACAATGTTATGATGCAATTATTCCGAATTTGTTGAAATCTAAATATGAGTTTGATATATCATCAAAAATTTATCTTGATCAAGCACGAATCTCGAGGCAAAAATCGAGTTGGAACCTTCAAAAATTAAATCAAAAGGCATATGAACTTTGATTTTAGCAAACTTATAGTATAACTGAACATCTTGAAAATGCAAACCCAACGACGTCAAATTTGACTCAATATGAGCTCAAATGAGTTTAAATCAAAGACCCGAAGCGCATTTGCTGGATTCAATCCATAATTTGGATTGCCAAAAAGTTTTCCAAACATGGCATTCTTATAGTCGAATCGAGCGGCTTGACGAGACAAATGCTTAATAAACAGTCCAAGACCAAGGGATTCAACATCATTCATCCATTCAAATCACTGTTAATTTACCTTTTACCATGCTTATATCCGATGCCAGATTTTTATCCATTGACATACTTCTACCCAACACCGGACTTCCGCCCATCACTAGATTCTTACATGACATCGGACTTTCGTCCGTCGCCGGATTCCTGCATGACACTGGACTTCTGCCCGTCGCCGGATTCCTGCCTGACGTTGGACTTCTGCCCGTTGCCGGACTTCCATCGAACTTCTGACGTCAGACTTCTGCCCGTCGTCAGACATTCATGATGCTAGACTTCTGTCCCATCGTTGGACTTCTACCTTACGCTATCCTTCCGACCTTTGTCGCCAGACAACGATCTTTATGACCTCCATCGACTACGGTCCTTCCGACTTATGTCGCCCGCCGACTAAGGTTCTTCTGACTTACGTCGCCCACTGACTACAGTCCATCTGACCTTCATCGCCCAGCGACTATGGCCCTTCCAACCAAGTGAATACGTCAACAATGATTCTTCCTATTTCCACCATGTAACATACTCTATATGATATATATTTGTTAAATAAAGTTATGACCTTTCTTTCAATGAAGGGCCTTATTTGTAATCAACTACAAATACTAGTTGGTCCATTTAAATTGGGCTAGGCCCTCTGATTTTTCTCCCTTTTCAGGGTTTTTCATATAGAAATCTTGGTGTCTCTTGTGAATGCCCCACCCTCTCTTTTTATCAGTGTGCGTGTTGAATTTTCGTACAAAGCAAATATTCTAGGACGCAATAGAGTTAAGTTTTATCATAAATTTAATTTTTCAATCAAAATTTTATGAAGGAAGGTGAAATAATGCTTGGCTTCTAAATAATTAAGATTTATGATAACATCGTAAAAATAGATTCTTATTCCAATTATTGAACTTTTTATTTGAGAAAATTTAGGTCATAATATATGAATTTAAAAATTATTTGAATAATTTTTATAATTATAGTCATTATGTTTATTTTAAATTAATTAATTAACTTTTATTGCATTCAACTTAAGATTTTTTTTTAAAAATATTTAAACCAATTAAAATAAATTCACATACATAATACTCCAACCTATAACCTCTTAATTACTTAAAATAAATTTAGGGATCAGCTACAATTCAATCTCCACATAATTTAGAGAGATTATTATGTGCGGTCATCAAACTATTTAGAGGTCAATCAAAATACGTAATATTACTAAATACACAGAATTACATAATAATAATATTAATAATAATATACAGAATATCAGTGATATGATAGTCTTAATTGACGATGACCCCAAGTAATAATTTCGCCCTAATGTGGGCCTACATGCAATTCAGCCTACACATAATTTGGATCACGCTGTCCTACCAGTTGTCCTAACCACGGCCTTATATTCGTTCCTAATAATCAAAGCCCCAATCTATTTTCCCCGCATCTGTTCCCTCTACCTCCTTCACCGTTCACTCCGTCCTCTCTGCTTCTAGTCATGTCATTGGCCGAATTCTCTCCTTGCTCTTACTCGAGATATCAAACCCTACCCTCCAATCTATCGTCCGCTCCATTGACTGCTTTCCACGTCCACGCCTTCAAGCGCGGCCAATCTAAGCTCCATGTCCGCCGGCCGCTGAACATCACCTGCTCGGTTGCACCGAGGTTGCCTTCTCTTTTGCTTCATTCGATTTGTTTTCCCAGTTGGGTTACTCATTTTCTTTCATTCTTTTTTATATCTGCTTGATTTTGATGTTTCGCTCTCAGCCAAGTACAGTCACCGGCGACCGCGGTTCCCGTCCGTCCGGCCGATGCGGCGAATAAACAGGAGTGTTATGGCGTTTTTTGCACGACATACGATCTCAAAGCGGTAAAATCGTCTTTACCCTTTTTATAGTCTTGGATGTTTTATAGTTGTTGCGGGCTAGAACATACGCGGTGATAGAGTTAGAAAAATTTTCGCCTTAGCTTTGTACGAATATCCAGCACACAAACAAAATAAAAAAGGAACACCAAAATTTTTACGTGAAAATCCTAGAAAAGAGAAAAACCATAGGGTCACGCTCAGTTAAAATGATTTAACTGGTGTTTAGATTACAAGTGGCTGACTCGTCCCTGAAATTGAGGATGATCAGATTACAATAATCAACTCCCAGGTTGAAATTGAATTACAAATGGAGATCGGAAATCCGGCAACGTTCTGGTGGCGGACAAAAATCCGGCATCAGACGACTGTGGGGCAGAATTCCGATGCCAGTCGATAGTCGGGTGGAAGTCCAACGTAGTCAAGGAGGAGTCTCTTCCTTCTCTTCTTGCTTCCTTGCTTAATTCCAGCATCGGACGGTCATCGGGTGAAAGTCCGACGGTGATCGAGAATGAGTCTCTTCCTTTTCTTCCTTCACTTCTTCTTTCACTTTCTTCTTCTTGCGTGAGGTCCTTAAGAGAAATAATAGGTCTATTTATAGTTTTCTGAGAGTGGCATGACCAATAAATAGGAGGAAGATCATGGCTAAATTGAGAGTGATTTGAATGGACAGCCGATGTTGAATCTCTTGATCATGGGCCGTTTATTGAGCATTTGAATGTCTTAATGATATTAGAATTTGACGATCTTGGGCTCGTTGGATTTGTCTCGTACAGCCGCTCGATTTGACTATAAACACGTTATATTTGGAAACGGTTTGGTAATCCAAATTATGGATTGAACCATCCAAATGTGCTTCGGGTCTTTGATTTGGACTCATATGGGCTCAAATTGAGTTGAATTTGGTGTCGTTGGGTTTGTATTTCCGAGACGTTCAGTTCGACTATAAGTTTGCTGAAATCAAAGTTCAGATGGTCCCGGATTTAATTTTTGAAGTTTCCAACTTGATTATGTTTCGAGATTCGTGCCTGATCAAGATAAATTATTGATGATATATCAATGGTGAAGATGGATCTTACTAATCTTGAAAGACTGAAAGTTGTTTGTTTTCTTAATTTAGCTTTGGAGTTTGTCATAGTTGTATCTCTTCATTCTGATCAGGGTTTTTAGTGGAAATGTCCATGTCCTCGTCAGCAATTTGTTTTGAGTTCTCTACTTCAGTGCTTTCGGGTTGTTGTTCAAGCAACGATAGCTTATTCAAAGAGTTTGTTGTATGACTGTCCTCATAACTTATTACAAACATGACACCGTGAACCTATTTAATTTAGTGTTTTTTTTTTGGAATCGTCATGATGTAACTTTTTTTTTTTTTGGCTATTGAAACATTAAAGATTATTCATTGGCTTTGTCCCTTGAGTAACATACAGGGGCTTTGCTTAACCGTCAGTTGCAATATGATAGCATTTTTACAATGTAATGCTTCACAGGAAGAGAAGACGAAGACTTGGAAAAGTTTAATTAGGGTTGTTGTTTCTGGCGCGGCTGGGATGATATCCAACCACCTACTCTTCAAAGTAATGAACCACTTATCGTTTTTTATTTTTTATATTATAATGATTCCGCAGCTTTTCAATTTTTGCATTATGAGAGTTCCTTACTTTTTTATCTTCTATGATGAACTTATTCATTGAAGCTTTAACCTTTTCTTTGCTGGAAATGAAATATAATTTGTAAGATCATACAAATGCTGCTTTAATATGAACTTGTATAAATAACGTTGTTTTTTGCTCTCACAATAAAAATCAAGGCACATTTATAGCTCTTTTTGGTGCTTAGGTTCATGCATTATTCCTTGTTTCTTCTATCTTAAATGCCTTACTTCTTTTCTTATGAGTTATCGGTTTCAATAAGGTGCAGTTAAGAGGTGTTGGATTAGTCGTTGGAAGGTCTTCCTCCCCGCTGTGACAGTGGCACTTTAGTGCACCCTAACTTACTAAATGCCCACTTTCATCAAAATTGATAGTACATTCACCAAAAAAAAAAAGATAAGATAGCCTGTGCTATATAGTTAATTAGATAAGATATTAATAGTTGGGCAATATACTGCTGTTCCCTGCAGCTCCATCATGTTGTTACAGACAAGGCAGAGAACCTTTGATGGCACACAGGCGAATGTAAATCATATCCATCTAGTATTCCCAGAAACGTTAGACTTATGCCCTTACCAAAGGTGCAAACAATCCAATAAGCCTTATAAGACACAAATTATTCTTGTGTAATTTCGGAATACTAATTTTTTCTGGAATTTTGAAGTTTGAAGATTTAATATATATGACAAGAAAGAATATTATGATGAGTTCGTTTGTTATTTCAGCTAGCATCAGGGGAAGTATTTGGGCAAGATCAGCCTATTGCTCTAAGATTATTGGGTTCTGAGAGATCATATCAGGCTCTTGAAGGTGAGTGAAAAAAAACTGTCATTCCTAACGTTGTTTATTTTATATATACTGCCCTAGACTTTGAGCAGATCAATTTTTGTTTAGCTTGTTTAAAGATAAAGGTTTATTTACTTCTTCCTAGTTTATTGCAATTCCAGGACTTCATATGTCTATTCAATCGTTCTACTTGTTTCTGAACTTTACTCACTTGCTTATTGTCATAACTTGGTTCTGGAAGGCAATATACTTCTGCGACATGAGACGTGTTGAAGGGATTTGTCTTGACCCTTAAATACAAGTTTCAAAAACTAGTATTGATTTAAGCCTATTTTGTACTAAAAAAAGATATTCATATACAAGTAATTATAAATAGTATGAGAAGTAAAGAAAAGTAGGTACTATTTTATTGCATCAATAAAATTCATAACAATAGCACAAGAAGAAAGTAAAAATAACAACCAAGGGTAAAGAAATAGAAAGTATTAACTACGGAAGCAAAATCACTTAAAATCTACATAAAGAAATTATACCACTGAAAAGTTTGCTCTTGTGGTGAGGGTTCACCAAACACTCAGGTAAAACTTGATAGAATTTTTTTACAATAAGTGAGTTTATTGACTTAATAATGGCCATGTTGAAAGTAAATCTCAATTAGAGGGGACTATCTTTTAAATGCCTCTAAACCTCAATGAAATATAAAAGTTTTAAAGTGATATTAATATCATCCAAATAATGGCCATGTGGAAAGAAAAACTCAGTCGAAGAGGTCAATTCTCAAATTATACCAAAATTTTAAAATTCTAAATCTATTAAAATTTCAATATTTAAAATAAAATTTAATCACTTAGGCCTTAAAGAAAAACTCATCCATCCTCTGTAACTGTTTGACTAGGGTGATGAATTCAATGATAAGTACAGCTCACAAAGAACAAATATTCAGTCGAGAATGTCACTATGATTCATTTTCAAATAATCTTTTGTAGGTAGACGTGGCAAATGTCCTATAACCAATAGTTTGGCCCAACAACTTCACAAGATAAACAGTTATGGTGGGTCCTCTAATCGGTGGTTTGACCTAACAGCTCTATAGAACCAATTGTTTAGCCCATTGGCTCCATATGGTAAACGATTATGACTGAGACACTCTAACCGAGTGGTTTAGCTCAATGACTATGCTATATTACGGTCATGACTATAGCCTATATGTTCCCCAATTGCTAATGCCCTTTATTAATGATTCTTAGGGTATAATTAATTAGGTATAGAGCCTTTTGTTCGCTAAGATTGACTGTAATTTATTCTTTAGACAAACATTCACCTTAGGTTTAAACCAAATCTCCCTGTTTGAAGCAAAGGTTGCTGTAGCAATGGAGAACAAATACTTAATAGAGATATCTATCACTTGAGCCACCAATTTTACTTCTTCCACATGCTTTCTTACTACTTCACAACTGTAGGGTTCTATTTTAACTCAATGATGGTTGTTGTCATAGTCCACCTTTTCCTCTATGACAAGCCTTATATGTCATTAAGTGGGCTTTAGTCTGCTATTATGAAGCAAGCATTGATGAGAGGAAATAATCATATGAAGGCTACTGTAACATTTTAGTCTGTCGTCCAACTTGGTCTATTAACAGCCTTACCCATGGTTATGGAGATTGGGCTGAAATGGGGATTCAAAACTGCATTGGGTGACATAATTATCATGCAACTTCAATTGTACTTAGTGTTCTTTACATTCTTGTTTGGAACAAAATCCATTACTTTGGACTGATAATCCGACATGGTGGAGCAAAATATAGAGCTACTAGATGAGGATTCGTTGGGCGACATGTAAAGTTTGTAGCGAACTACAAGATGTACTTTAGAAGTCATTTTACAAAGGGTTTGGAACTTATGCCGCCTCTAATTATTTATTTGATCTATGGATCTACACCCACTGATCCAACAAGCTTTATGTTTCTCACTACATCCATGTGGTTCCTTGTTATCACCTAGTTTTTTGCACCATTTCTTTTTAACCTTTCTGGCTTTGAGTGAAAAAAAAAAATAGTTGATGACTGGAGCAGGTGTATAAAATGATGATAAACTGTTGAAAGATGATGTATTCTCTAGAGTGAAGCACGAGCAAATAATGAAGGATATAGAATTGGTTCATGTGTCAACTGATTCTCGACAGGAAGTTGATAGGAAGCATTTGAAAATTTTCCCACTCCCTCCTCATACTAGCTTCTCCCGGGTGGTCTCATTAATGTTGCTTGATGCAGGCCCCTTGGGTGCTAGAAGAGTGGTCGTCGTCCTGTAAGAGCCTCCTAAGCAGTTTCCTCGAGCTCCTCTTTCTGATTTCTTCGGATCTTCTACCAACTGCGTCAGCTCCATAGCCTTCCCTAGGTTCCTCGGCTCCAGCACCCTGACCGCTGTTCGTATCTCTGGTTTAAGCCCCTTCATGAAGTTCCCTTCCAGGGCTAACTCTGAAATATGATCCAATCTGTTAGCCAAGTACTCAAACCTGTCGTAGTAATCTGCCACAGTCCCCTCCTGAGTCAAGGCAAAGTATTGCTCATAGAAGTCTCCTCCCCCATCGGCTTGGAATCGTTCTAATAAGCAATCTTTGAACTCTCTCCAGCTCCGGATGGGCTCCCTCCTGTCACGCCACTGGTACCATGCTAATGCTTTTCCTTCCAAACACAATCCCGCCGCTATCAGCTTCTTTTCCTCTGTCAACCCGTTGACAGCAAAGTAACGCTCCACCTTGTAGATCCAGCCATGGTCGTCTTCACCCTCAAAGACGGGCATCTTCAGCTTCCTCACTCGTGGGTCTCCCCAGTTTCTCCTGAATCCTCCATAACCTCCCATTCCTCGAAGAGGAGGTGCTCCCCAACTGTCACGATCCTCCCTCCGGTGATGATTCCCGAACCCTTCATCATATTCCCCTCTTCTCCCTTCAAAATCAGCACCCCAGCGATGAAAATCTTCCCTTCTTTCGACAAAATCAGCACCCCTCTGGTCATTACCCAAACTCATCTTCTCTCTAGAAAGTGGCTCTAGAGGTGGCATGTCGTCCTCCCCCTCAATGACCTCCACTTCTGGATTTCTCCTCCCCCTAAACGGGTTCGGATTCCCTCCTACTCCATGGCCTCAGGTGGTCTCTCTTGCTTCCGATGTCGTAGGATTGGTCTTCAACTCTAATAGTTTCTCAACATTTCTTCCATCACTGTGAATTTCCCCTCTATCCTTTCATTGTTGAATGTGATTTGGTTTTGAAAATAAAAAATTTTCTCTCCAAATTTGATTAGTTGCCCGATCTCGCCTTCCAGTACTTCTACCTTCCCGGCCATCTCTCTTCCCGCGGATCACAAAGATTTTCTTTTGGTTGTCAAAAACCCGCTGAAATTTTGAAATTTCAGCAAGGTCCCAAATCGATGCTCCGATACCAATTTGATAGGAAGTATTTGGGTTCGCTAGTAACCCAACCCAAATCGAGAGTCAAATAGCAAAATTACTGCTGTCCACAGCAGTAAAACAGTCTAGATTTGCTGTTCACAGCAGAAAAAACAGCAAAATCAAGAGAAAACTCAACCAAGGACTTGTATTCCACTAGAAGATGAAATAAAATAGCAAGATACAATTGATCCTCTATTCGAGAGGATGATCGATCTCTCCCAAATCTCTAGACGCCGCAAGAGCCCGAAGAAAACTTAAATCTAAGAGATCTCAAATTTCAGCCAAATTCAAGATGCCCTAACCCTAGGAAAACAAAGTATTTAATGCATACAAATCAAAAGAAAATCCCTAAATAGTCCCTACATTCAAATTTCCCTCTCAAATCCCTAAAAAATCCTTCCTAAAATGGTCCGCTTGGGTGGTCGGGACGCCCGATCTCCGCAGGAGGCGGAAATTTCGCTAAATTCAGGTCCCATGCGGACCGGCTGGACCGGTCCAGTGGACCGGTCTAACAGAAGCAAATTTTGGTGTTAAAACAGATGATCAGGAGACAATTCTCTTTCTTACACTTTGAGGACAATGTGGCTCTTTGGGAGTGGAGTATAGATACGCCAAGGGGGTCACCTTGTGGGGCCTAGGGGAATATATTTAGAAGGTTCCTAATTAAGGGAGAACAATTTAGAAAAGTTTCTTAAATTATGCTTAATTGTTTAGGAATGTTTCCTAAGTTATATTCAATTTGTTTAGGAAGGTTTTTTAAATCATGTTTAATTGTTTAGGATGGTTTTATAAATTATGTTTAATTGTTTATGAAGATTTTCTAAATTGTATTTAAATTGTTTAGGGATGTTCTATTTATGCTATTTAAGTGGGAGTTGTCTAGGATTTTAGGATCATGCTATGGCTGAGTTTTGGTTTTTATGTAGTTCTTTTTTTTTTAGGGCTTTCTAGTGGCATCTAGGTTGATTGGGAGAGCCGATCTACCTCTCAAATTTTAGATCACATGTATCTTATTTTCTCTTATTGAAGTATTAATACAAAATCAGCCACCGCTTTGATTCTACTGCAGTTTTTTCTATTTTTTATTTACTGTTTTTTCTTCCAAGACATATCAGAGTAGCTGCAGGACTACCTCCGCCAGTTTAATAAAGCCGCTCATGAAATTAACTGTGATGATAAAAACCCAGCAAGCTGCTTTCACACTAGGCATGCACGCCAGCAAGTTTAAGTTCTCTCTATTCAAGAATCAACTATGGACCATGAAATAGTTATTTCTGAAGTTCTCATAATTTATAGAACTAGATTGAGCATTTTTTTTTATGGTTCATTTTTCGAATAAAGAAAAGTATTGATCACCTCAGTTGGCTGCGTTTGAGAAGAAATTCTAGAAGTTTGACCACTCCTGTTGTGGTAGTCCCATCAATAAGGATTGGTGCATGATGCCAAGACAAATGCTATAATAGTGATTTTGGGAGGTAAGTTGTTACGGAGCCAACCATATCGATCTAGGAGGGGCCGGTCCAGTTCTACAGGAGGCGGGCTAAGCCGCCTCCTTAAATGAATTCACCCAGCATGTG